GTCCATTTAGTCGTGTCTCTCCTTCTAATTGAATGCCTATATTGGGTTTTATGACAATTGGAGTGTGTCAAGGTGAGATCTGTCGAATACTATGGGATTGTAATAGACGACAAACTGAAGTTTAATATATCAAGAATGTACAAAGACAATGTCAAACTGACGTAAAAATGTAATTAAAGCGATAGTACGTGGATATAAAGGCACTTACCCAGACTTTGCTCTTGATGTTTACAAAGGACTCATCAGACCTAAACTAGACTACGGCTGTTTTTTATTTGGATATGCCTCCAAGTTAATCAATGTATTGGAAGTTATACAAAATCAGGCTATAAGAATAGCTATTGGTGCTTTTAAAACCACACCAATAAACGCCTTACTGGAAGAGGCAGCTTAACCACTTAACATAAGAAGAACGATTCTTACGGATAGGTTAACAACATGCAAGGTTATTAGCGCTAAAGTCCATGAAGCTTTTCATTTAATTTATATTAATAAGATTTAATGAGGCTAGAAATTATATGTAGAGAAATGCCTTTTTGACCAAAAAACTAAAACCTCTGTCAACCATTTGACACAATCTACAAGGTAATCCCTTCGCTAGAAGACGCATATAGACACAATAGCTACTACGAGCTCCACGATAGTAATTCTTTAATAATTTCAGACCCACAATCAGCCCTATCAGCCATTGACAAAATTAATTAAAACTGTGATGTAGAGGGCATTTAGAGCATAGTTTATGAGCTATCCAATTCAGGAAAGAATATCTTTATACACTAGTATCCTGGCCACCGTGGCATTATGGGAAATGAACCCGCTGACAAATTAGCAAAGGAAGCCACTACCAATTTACTTGTACCCATTGATGATTTTAAAAGCCACATAAATAAATTCTACCAAAGCCAGCATAACAAATTATTTATAGACTCCAAAAAGGGTAACTGGTGTAAGGGAATGATACAGTACCCAAATAACATGGTTCCGTAATTTAAAATCAAAAAGAAATTTTATTTATTACGATGTGTCGACTACGTTTAGGACATGCTAATGTTAACAAATCTCTATTAAGCCATATTTTACGACACTCTGCCTTAGCTGCACAATGGGCTGAAAGGAATCAGTAGAACACTTAATTATTGAATGCCCGGCACATGAATCCGCCAGGAAAGGCGTTTCAAACTAACGCAGAAGATAATACAGAAATGTAACAGCTCCGACTATTTACAAGAAATTCTGAAAACTGATGACATCAAAATATATCGAGAACTCATAGATTTCTTCATATACATAAAGAGAAAATAATACAACCAAAACAATAACCAAACACTCACAAAAATTCATTTCGATCCTTGGTTTCTTCATCCACGGGTCTCCTTTTCGGGATGGAAATGCTTGACAGCCCTCAAGCGGGAAGACCCCAACCCAACCCTTCTCACAACATTCCCATCAAGGCCTTAGAATCCTACTAAATCCCATCTATTAACAGGACACTACAAAAACAAAATCAAAAACCAAAATGTAAAAACACCATCAAACTAAAACAAACCCCGCAACAAAATTGACAAAAATATTACCAAATACCAATGAAAACCCCAGAATAGCCAATATTAATATTACAATTCAGCCATTAATTAATGTGAAAATTTTGAAATTTTCTACACGAAAAGGAAACAATTAAATTAAAATTAAAGACAGTTCCGTTTTAAAGTTAAAGCTAAAATTCAGTTCATGTTTTTGGTATTTTTCAATGTGTTTTTAATCGTGTATAGTTATTATCTTAAAAATAACAACTCTAATTTAGTAACCAATATTTAAATGCTTGAAATGAAGTCAGTGATAAAGGTAGTGATAGCCTAATGCATGAAAAAAACAAGAACAAAAACCCATTCAAGTAAATCTTAAATAACATCAAGTTATTCAATGTAAATCGTGAAAACTGTATTAAGGCAAGAGATAAATATAAAATCGGATATTTGTTCCTGTTGTATACATAGATTAAGTGCAATCATGTTATTGAAAGTTGCATACTATAGTGTGTATCGAGTAAAGTTAGCATTACGATAAGACTTATACAGTATAGAATATCATTTTAGTTTATATGAATGAACATTTTTGCAGTTGTCTTCATTGCATCTAGACAAAAACGACAAATTGGGAACGATAACTGGCACATTTGTTTACATTTTAAGTTAATCTTACAAACTGTATCGAGTAAAAATATTTTCTACGCTTTAATAACCAAGTATAGTAATAGTACCTCAGTATTTTTTTCATTGTTACTATTTCAACCATACGGATTTTACTATTATGAATCATTGTATAACATTTCAAACAAATTAAATAATATACTATCGTACCATTTTTATAATATGATTAAGTTTACGTAGGCCTACTTGTTTCTCTCCATACGTAGGGTACAGCTATGATCTGCAAAAGTAAGTTCTTAACACTAACAAATGTTGCTAATGATGTAATATAGCTGACATACATATATTTTTCTGAAATATAAATTGAGGGTCACCACGTTGGTCGTAAAATAACAAAGCTGATGAAAAAACAGAATTTAACATATGTTAATAAACATGCCATCTGTACCAGCACATAGCAAATATAGTACAAAATATCACATCATTTGGATTAGTGAGCTATTGAAAGACTATTAGAGATACAGTACATGGTTTTACTTGGAGAATGGGTGAGTATGTGTAATTCTTTTGAATATTTACATTAGCGTTATAAATGTTACCAAATAATTATCTCTAGTCAATGGAACAGTTGGGATTTTCCAACATTTGTTACATGATTAGTTATTAATTATAAATACAAATAATAAAATCACTAAAATTAGAACCATGATAAATTATTGATGTAATTTAAAGACATTAGTTCGAAGCTAAATTTGGCAATGGCATGAAATAATTTACTAAGAACAATGAATATTAAACTTAAAATATGTGAGATATGTTTAAAATCGTGCAACATCAAGCTGTTTCACACTATCGTCCCTATCCCTCTGAGCCAATCATTAGCATTTACACATAATCGACTCCATTTAAACCACCGAATCTGTTTACTGCTCTTGTACAATACACTTATGCCATACTAAATAGTTCCTATATTATAATACTGTAATCGTTGTTCAGGCGAGTGAAATAGAAAAACGACTCTCAACAGAACAACAAACGTCGGTGCAAAACCAAAGTAATTATTATGTTACTTCATAAGAATATCTATATTATTAAAATCATAAATAAAATACGTCTCTAACACAATCCGATATGTGTACACTTATACTGCAAACAATTACAAGACGGTAAATATATGTAAAAGATGTAGACTCTGATCAGGCCTGATGACCGGTGTGACTGTTCGAAATCGAGCACCATTGTAACATCTTATATTAACCGTATTGTAAATGTTTGCAGAGCAAGTGTAGATATATGGAATAGTGTTGTAAGGCGTATTTATTATATTCTTACAATAACGCACCAACTCGTCCATTTCTCTTAAAGAGATGTTATTTATGTTACATTGTGAAAATGAATAGACATGCTTGAAATATATGCAACCTTCGACGTCTATTATTCGGCACTGAAAACATAAAACTGTTTAGTGTTTTATCATAACCTATACAACTGACCATCCCTAAAGCCAAATATAATCCACGTCGGGTGGGATCCAAGAATAACGTAATCGTATATTAAATAATTTCAAACTAATAGGCAGAACAGATTTTATTTTATAAGCGTAGATCTTTTACTAATTATTAGAACAATCCCTTGGATTATAATACTTGTAATAGATTTTAAACACTCATTATAATTGAAAATACTGTTTTTCTTTGATGGTTTTTATTTCAAAGATCTCTTAAATGTGTAAGAATTAAGAAAATGCCCTTTTGGCAACGTGAATTAATGTCTTACAATCAGATTTGAATAAAGTAAAATTGTTTTTTGTAGTTAATTCGAGTGTTTTTATTGTTCGGCTTACATTGCAGATGTAGTTTAAGCCTTAGTTGATTGTTCACTTGAATTATGCTCTATCCTTAGGTAGCCGGGCTACATACCTGGCTTTCTTCAACGAAAGTTGTCCTAGAGCCAACAACCAAAATTACAGTTTTGGTAGTATGCAATAATAATTACACAAATGGTATTATTATTTGTATACTGTAACCTGCATTTTCCAAAATAGTAGTTGATCGCCAAAAAACTACCCTGATGCATAGATAAGTTTGTTGATTAAGCCCGGAAACTATTAAAAAAGGGTTTTCCTAGTTGCAGCTGATTAGCCTACAATCAAATATCTGTATAATTTCTCATGTAATACATGAGGCTAATGTTGGCTTAACCAAGTCAGTTAAACAGCGCATGTTGTAACGAACTTTAATCGGGTATCCAGCAACATTTTCTCTTGGGTATCTTTTTAGGCCTGCTCAGTAAAAGAGACATAGTAAATAGCCGACTAAAAAGTATACTAGCTCATCAATAATTTCAAAAGGCGCCCCTCAGTACCTGGGGAGGTAAAAGTTGCGCTTTACCATTGTAAACATTCCATTTATCGCAGATTTAATTTATCAACTTAGTTTTGCTACGGTATTATTTTTCCATTTTATTATTCAATATTGTATAGTTTATCATTGTGGCCGTATCAATAATAGTTTAATTAACGCAAAGAATCTGCGCCATATAAGCGGTCACTCGATTTGCTCACCCTAGCACCGGATTTACAACGATAAGCTAAACTTGTTCGTTTCGTTCCTTGGAAACGCCCGATCCACAAGATCACAGCTTTTTATATAGCAGAATGGTTTATAAGAAGTTAAATAGTAGCTTGAAAGATAAAACGTATCATTCCGTCATAAAAGTACCTTAACATCTTTACATAGATTTCGAGATGATTATCATCTCCGACATAAAAAATCGGTGTATGGATATATGTTTTCTATACGTTGCGTAACGTTGTTGCAATGTTTCAGGGGGATGACTTGAACGACAGACGACATGTTCCCCAACGTACTGGTACCATCGCCGCTACACGGATACTCCAGGCAGCTGTTTGCGGCCAAGGGTTCTCCGTTGTTCACAGCATCCTCGGCATTCCTCATGGACAACCTACTGAACGAGAGGAGAACCCCGAACTCCCCGCCGGGCCCGGCTAGCCCCAGTCCGGACTACGAGAGCTCCGGATCCCCTTGTCCCACGGACTACCGCGTCCACAAGTCGGAAGGATTGTCTCCTGGACTCGGAGACTCCTCCGATCAAGACCATTCTGGAGACTCGGGTCGTTTGAAAGCGCGTCTGGAAGTCGCCCATGACACCGAATCAAGGACAGACAACTGTCATGAACCCAATGACAGATGGTCTCCCAAGAGGGGTAATTATTAAAAATAGTGACGGTAATCAACCCTTTGCTGATTGTAATTGGTGTCACAAAATAGATTAAAGTAAAATAATATTATAAGAATATTCAGTTTCCTCTATTATTTTATTTTTTCTTTGTTGTTTAGTTTGTGAGTTAATAAGGTCAAATTGCATCATCTACCATCATCAAAGTCAAATTGTGCCAGCCAGTATTTGCATCGTCATCAGAGTCCAATTCTGATTTGGGTGTGTTGATAGCCTAGTGGTTCTCGGACTTAGGTACGGGATGGACTGGTTTGATTCCCGGTATATCCACAAAAATCTAATGGGTTTGGACGGTTTTCCCTTGAAAAGCGATTAGATTGACTAAAAAATGCCACTGACTTAGGTAAACACAAGGATAAAAAACTAACAAAAACTACTACCAAACCCTGCATATGTTTAATTACCTTAAATTTGAAAAGTCCATGCAACATGAATATTATCTGAACGGGCCGGATATTCCACCTCTTTTTCAAATCATTCTATCCCTGGTTACAAAGTCAAAATACTATTGGAGAACATTCTAGAGCTTATAGAATTACTTAAGCTCTAGAATGTTCTCTCAATAGTTTTTATAATCAAAAGTACGACACGAAATCCTACGCTTGGGTGTTCCGTAGATTCATTCAAAACGTTGGTCGCTCATCGTTGTTTATACACCTACATGCTATAAAATGACTGTTTAATTGTGTAGAACAAATATTTAATTTTCAATTAAATAGAATCACATTTGTAAAATACTTTTATAACCTTTTTTATTCCAGATTTTGAAAACAGTTCACCACCTAGTCACCGTTTCTTAGAGGAATCAGCGGAGGCAGTCCAGGTACGGGGCGAAGACCCAGGTACGATGGAGTCAGCCAAGTCTCCGGTGGTAACTCCTGCACCCAACTACCCCTCGGACACGTTCCGTCATTTCTACCACTCGGACGTGTTCAAGAGCTATGCGGAGGGAGTGTTCAGACACGAATACGACCAGCGGACTTCTAGTAGGTTTAGTGAACTGTACAGCGATTACAAACAAAACGTAGTAGTGCTGAAGCCGAACAGTAGGCGAGCTCAGGACTGTCAGACTGAGAAAGAACCGAGTGCTCCAGTGCTAAAGTTTAGTGTGAACGCGATCCTTGGACCAGAGCCAGGCAAGACACCACCAGTTACCAGTGAGTACCAACTACTTTAGATGCTAACAGAATGTATCAATAAGTTATCAGTTGAGTTCCTAAATTGTAGAAAAAAATTAGCACAAAGAATGGCAATTAAATTTTATATTTGTATTGGACTGTCTCATAGGACGGAATCGTTTGATGCGCTATTATTTTGCTAGAGTAATATTTGGAATATGCTTTATCTATGCTAGTATCATAATCGTTGTATTGCCGTTATCAACGTGTAAATAGCCAGCCGTTTTAACAAGCTATAGAAATCTTTTAGTTGAATAAAACGATACAAAAACTAAAATCAATATATCAACTTTATACTTTCACACCTTGTGAACGGGTATAGAGAATCAGGCTTTTATTTCCGCCTGTTCTTTAATTTACACGTCAATAGTATTTTATATAGGAACCTTAGATTCCTATAGACAGTCCTGAAAACTGTGAAGCCATGTTACAGTCAAAGTCACCCGAGACGCTACAACAGCTATATTGTTTTAGGTATTTGTATTGTGAATTATACTTTTAAATTTAGATTGGTTAAAAATGACACAATAACGTGAAAAACCACGTTAGCTACACCACCATTAGGAGTTTACACTCTCTAACTTCAGTGTTACAAACTGCTGTAATTGTATACGGACTTTTTATCCATGCAGTTTAACAGCTAGGGTGAAATTTTAAGTTTCTGGTTTGGTAATATGGGTTTTAATCAGCATGTGTAAATAATTTATGTCAAATAACTGATTAAGTTGCCTATATTATTACACTACTATACCCAACATTTCTACATTTTATACTGTATCTTTGGCTAATTTTAAATCCATCCAAATGTAGTAAAATGGAATGGTACAAAATATATTTTAATTCATCGAACTATCAATTAATTGATTGATCTATTCCTGTGGGCACTACAAATCACATCGATTGGCTCATTGCAAACAGATTTAAGCAATTCACAATCTTGATTAGTCAATTAAAATGATAAGAAAATAGCTAAAAGATAAGACTTAAGCTATCAGATCAGGTTTGCTTGATGAAAGCGGTTATAGACCATTTGGAGCCCAACAGTGGCAGATCGGAAACAAGGCACTAATAGAAACATTCAATTCATTCAACTTATACACGGTCAGTATTGAATAAAAATTTCATCTACCGATATGAATCACGACTTTTAATTATAGAAGCCATTTCAATAATAGAATTTCTCTTTAAATTATCATTAATTAAATTATTAAATTAATCATTAAATTGTTATTAAAGTATGGTCTACGTTTAACTATTATTGTCATTGGGTTATTCTAATGGCTGATATCTGAGATCTGAGATTAAGAACAAAAATTGTCAATTAAACTCTTCTGCCACTACAACTTAAAATATTTCTTGTAGCTTTCTCCGTCGGCTAACGTAGTAATTCCAACTGACATGGTGGACCACCCACGATTCTACAGATAATTAATTGCTTAAGAAAAGTTAGTTAATCAATGATCTAAAAAACAATAAAGAAAGAAATTATAATTGTAAAAATCTTTCTCTGAGCAAAATACAACCAGCTAGGTTATTAAAAGTGTAAGAACGTATCCTGCCTTGCCTGGGTTGAGCAGCCCAGTCAATCCTCCTGAGAAAACTACTACAACAATAATTGAATATAGTTTCCTCCGCATCTGCATTGGACCGTTATTACCTGTCCAGTGTCCACTGCTGTCCACCTTTGCCTTTAGCAAGAGTTTTTTCTTCCAGTCTTATCTAGGGCCCCATATATAATAAAAAAAGAACACGGCGGAAAGTTAGTTATAAATATTTAATAAACAGTAGTTGTTTTCGACTAATCTCCCGGGGCAGATAGTTGTAGTTAGAGCTTTAGGGTGGGAAAAATTTAAGATACCCATCAAATAGAGCTTCTATGTAATCTCAGAGGGAGCGCTATCACAAACGGAATAATGAGCGGGGGGGGGGGGGTTTGTCATTTATTATTTTCCCACTAACACTTCGAAATCAACCAATTGAATTGGATTACCTATCCAACACCTCATGAGCCCCGGATACAGTATTTCACTGTAAACAAATTCTTTCGTAAAACGAATAATTATGGAACAGAAGAGTCGGACAGACATATACACGTGCAAACGGAAGTGGAAATTGTGTAGAGGGGTTGATGTGATACCGAGGGGCGGGACGGGGGTCGTGTATTGTGGTGACACATCATTTAGGCTGTACGCACACAAACACACACACATCTGCGTGGACGTGTCGTGTCGAGTACGTGTTACAAATGTCGCAAACACGTATCTGCTCTCGGTGGTGTGTTGCTGTGTTGTCAAACGACATTCCAACACTCTTCATACAGTGAAAGAGCGTAACTTTCAACCTCTTTTCCCTATATCATCAAAGTGGTGTAATAGCCCTGGGCGAATTTTACCTCCAACGAACCCTACGTCATGGGGCTACATAACAAGCGAAGTACATTAAATAGTAAGGTCAGAGTTCACAGTTTGTCTACGAATCAATTTGATCAAATCAAAGAATTTGACTCCGCGGTAGCAAACCTGAAAACCAGCAGATTTCAATTTGCCTGATTAGATTTTTACTAATGTAAAATTGTACGATTTAAATAATGTATAATAAATCAATCAGAGGTAAAATTGATAAAATCAAATTAAGTTTAATGAGTGCTTAGATTTTCTGCTGCAGGGAAGGTAATAATAATAAGCAATTTGATGAAATGTAAAAGCTTAATATTAAATAAACTAATTTGTCAAAAAATGGATCAAAATATAATCCTTAAACAAGCAAATCACACCAGGTTTCTTATTCTCCATAATAATTACATGACAATCGTACATTTAATTTTCTCATAATTTTCCGTGACCATTGGACGTACAATTACGGTGCCATATATATCATTATTTGTTTGTAAACTCTACAAATTGGTTTGGAAAAAATTTGCCAAATTCCACTTTGAGGGTCAAAAAGGTTGAAATCAAAAAGGAGGAAACTAACTTTTACCCTATAAAACCCCGTTACCATTGACCAATCATGCTGGTTGGCGAATATGTTCGAAGAAATGTACGTTTACACGTTTGCACAAAATTTCATTGAAATACTATCATTTTTGCTCAAATTGTCGTGTTAACGTACACACATAAATACATGAATTTGAATGAATGATGTTTTATGCCTCTCTGGACTTAAAAACGAATAATTAAATCGGTTCCGGATCTAAGTACGGTAATAGATTATTCGCTATATGGGAAAACGCTATTAATAACATTTAAATTAATCAAAAAGGTGTGTAGCATATCTAAGAATGTTTTAGGTCGGTACATTTGTACAAACATATATATAAAAAGTACATAGTATATACAAAGTAAAAAGTATATATAAAAGTAGTATATACATAAAAAAAGTACTTCATAACATGCCATAAAGGTGTGCCAAGTTAAGTTATTCTAGTATGGGCCGTTAAAAAATTAACAGGGGGTCTCCAGACTTTTTACTAACCCTGTATATATGTGTGTGGACATTTCCCATTATGATTATTAAAAACCAACAACGTTTTCACGACGTTTAGGCATTTGGAATCAGATTCAGTTTGCATGTGGAATCAAAGCTGGATAATCCCAGATTCACACATTCCCTGTGTAGGATTTGTCTATGGATTTCCAGCCTTGACTCTGTTATGTATGTGTACTTTGTAGAGTATGAGGGAAAATTTGAAAAAAAAGATTCCAGATCCCAAAACAACACAAAAACGTTGTTGATTTTAATAATCGTAATGCGAAATGTCCATCACCGTCACCGAAAAGTCTACGCTTTTATTTCGATGTTGCGTGCAATAATAAGCTTTTACCTTACGAAACATCGTAGAAGCGCGAGTTTTATTGTTTGTAGTAGTAATGCATGGTATTTGTGTTTAAACGTTGAAATTGTGTTTTTCGATGTTTAAACTAAGTTATTTGTGGGGAGGTTTAAGTTATTTGTGTAACTAGTGTGCGAAGTGAAACTTAGCGCTCGCGTTGCACATTATGTTTTCCTTACAGTTACTAGGAAGCATAGAAATAATTAGTCTTTCAAACACTACAACTACGTTTTAGGTTAGGTCAAATCCAACCGTTGAACGAAATGAAAAACACTGCACCAGCTGTGTACTTCGAGAAATATTCTTGAAAAAGCGCGTACTTTACTGATTTGTGAGAATATAATTATTTTTTAGATGACATGCATGTAATTACTAGTTTTTTTTTTATCATAAATTTATTAATAATTTAGGGTTTTACAGTAACTCTAAATTTTACCGATGTAAGAAATTGATTGACGAAATAGTATATTTCACTACTAGGACCCACGATTACTAGAAAAATACCGGTATGGATCATAAACATCAACAAATGACGTTTTTGGCCCGAAAATAAACATTATTTAACATTGGTTAAATGGAACTGCTAAAACATGTTCAATGCTATTAGTATAGGATTCGGGCCAACAACGTCATTTTGTTTATGTTTATGATCCATACCGGGTATATTTCTAGAAATCGTGCTAGGACCGAAAGTGACATTTTCCGGGGCGCGCTGAAGTGTCATGAGGCGAAGCCGAGCATGTGAGCGTTATTTTCACGTACGAGGCGAAGCCGAGGACGGTAATAATAGTGCAGGAGCAGGAAAATCGCTTTCAGTACGAGCTATGATGAACTAGACTTTTCATCACGAAGAAAAATAGACACATATAGAATAACATACCTCAGTAGTAGTAAAATAATTTTTGACAACACTTTATCATTGAAAATACACTTCACATCGTGCATATATGGTTTCATGATCATAGATTTTTTTATTAATAATTACTTCGTCACTTACTTTAATTGACTCAGGCCTAACATTTTACTTTCGAAACTTTCTGTATTCCTCTTCATACCTTTCTTGAGATTTCTCTGGTGGAAGGTAATTAGTTACCTCTGAAGTTAATTTCAACAAATTATCAGAAATGTTAGACATTCTTTGAGCAAT